TGATGGGGTTTTCCATGTTATCAAACATGAAACATATTATTTATAACTTGTTGCTTCAAAGAACAGAGGCTCAAACCTTAGGGGAAATTTTGCATAGAGACTGACAGGCAGCGTCGTCCTGCTCCAGAGCAAAAGGGAGAGAGCGGGCTAGACAGCTGATTAATGTGCAAAATATTCATGAAATTTTGCGCATTTTAGCCACATTAAATTCAGTTTAAAGACAACTTTTAAGAAGTTTAACCATCCATATTTGAACCATTATTTTAGGAAAATTAAAGAGGAGGCTTAGCCTCCCTAGTATCCAATAAGAAATCACATACATATTACACTGTGTTATATGTAAAATAGCTTTTTACATAACATACTATTGTTATGTAGAGCATAATATGTGCATAGTATACGCTGTTTTCTTTTTAGTTTATTTACATTTTTACTGTTTTGAATGTTGTATTTTATTGCTTTTTAGATTTTCTACAGTATGTTTAAATGATATTTCATATTACCATGATTCATTTTTCTTGCTGTGTTTTCTGAATCACCCTTGTTCCTAAAGTCTTACAAGCTGGAAAGCGGTCACTGTTATGTCTTTTTTTAGCCAAAATATTTACTTAGTAAATGTTTATCTCTTTGACATTAAATAGATGTGTTACAGTTTTATATAATGTAAAATTGTAATTACCTATTTCTTAATAGAATTTGCCATTGTTTCTGAAGACAAATACAGTTTATTTAAAATTTTCAACTTACCTCAGACAAACTTGTGAACATGCTTAGATCGCTACCTTGTTGACCTGAAAATGAAGGAAAAATTCTCACTTTATTATTTTTTTTTTTATTTTGTTATTTTAACTTTTACACTTTTCTAAGGTTGACATTGTGTGACACTTTTTCTATAAACTTTTGCTGGTGGCTGCTATTCTAAATGTAAGCAAAATATGTGTCTGACTTGTTTGCACGCTATCATCTCTAGAAATTCCACAGCAAACATGAAGAGATGGAATGAAGGATAAGCTGTGAGATGTTAACATTGTGTGCTATGGAAAGAACAGTTAAACAGCAGGTTATGTAACATTTTCTGGTCAACATATAGATAAGTCTTAAACTTTTATGAAGAAAAGAAAAAAATGCTGTTATTTTTGTATGCAAGGTATGGCATTCTTTTTAATCTTCTGACAGCTAGAACATGTTACTTTGAGTTTCTACTTTAAAAAAAGTTGAAGAGCAAAACATCTAGCGAAACTGTGTGATGTAGTCATCAGTTAATGAATAGAGTAAGATACAGGATTATAAATTAATATTCTTAATGAGACTTTAAGCTTTACCTTGAAATACAAGTGAAGTTTGTTAGGCCTATTTTCTTTTTCTTTTTTTGGGAATTTGGAAAGTTGTAAAAAAATAAATAAATAAATAATAATAATAATAACATTAAATCACAGCTTCAATTTATGATTGGCCTATTAGACACCGGTTTCACCGTTGTGTGCTTTCTCAGATGAGCTACTCAAAAATGAAAGTGAAACTAAGGAGAGAAACTTTATAAACATTAAAAGAAATAAATAATAATACACTGAAATGTGTGGCAAATCAAGCCAGTGACTATCAAAACAAGTATTTACCTAAACTTAATAAAGGACATCTAGTTGAATTTAAGTGATATGATTCGGTTTCTTACCTTTTCTCTTCTTAAAAGCAAAGAAATAAACCTCTCTCCTAAGTCAGTCCCTGAAACTCTCTTCTCGGTTCACTCCTTAAATTAAGATTGAAAACTCTTTGGATCCTCTTTTTAAGTCTTTGGTTCTGGTCGGAGAAAGCTCACCTTTCCCTAACTTGAAAATTATTAGAAATGTCAAAGCGCAGCGCGCGGCTGGCTTCAGGAGAGTTTGCTCATTTGCGCCACCTGTTGGTCAGGTATCGGCAGCAGGAAAAGCTGTTTTCATAATTCTAAAAGTGAAAAAGCCTTTTGAAAAGGCCTCAGAGTTAAATAAGTAGGTCTCCTGAAGAACAGGAGCTAATGAAGTAAGATGCTGCCATATTTTTTCTTTTTTTTTTTACTCAGGAGAAATATTAAGAGATTTTGTTTTGCTCACACTTAAGTGTGGTGATTGTTTAAAGACTGAAAAATGCAGTTTGTTTCAAACAGTTTTTATACACAGATGCTTGAAATAAGCAGGAAGGTTGTACATTGGTTATCAAGTTATTTACAGAGCTTTCGTTTAATAATGATAATTAATTTTACATTAATGGTAACTCAGTTCTACATATTCACTGAAGCTGTGGTGATCCTTCTAAACAAATAAATAAACAAATTAGTGAATGGAATTATCTTTGCCAGAGACCATAGTCGAATTTTGGAATTTGTGTCTTACATTTTGCTTTGTTTTTCTGCTCCATTTCGTTGTGTTGAATAAAATATGTAAGTTTAAGTAGCTGCAATGAACTATCAGAGGATATTTATTAAGTCTATAATGGCTCCAAAAAAAAAAAAAAAATCACCCATTAGCTATAACTTGACTAAAACGTGACATTTTGACTCCAGAATTTATTGTATCAGAAATCAATATATTCTTTTATGTAAGCACATCATTTTGCACCACTAACTGTCAATTTCCCAATTAACCAACAGGTGGCGTAAATGCTTTTAGAGCCATTAGAGAGAATTCTAGTCATTCCTTTGTTCTTCAAGGGTGGTTTCCAACTCCATAATAAGTTAATGAAGGTAAATAATGGTGTGTGTGTGTGTAGGTTTGTGCAAAAATATGAGATTTCTTAATCAACATTTTGGGAATTGTTCTTATCAGTTTGCTTTTGTGTTACATTTAAAATGTTGAACTATATGAAATGTTCAAACAAACCTTTCTTACTTGAAATCCTAAAAACAATTTATTTTACTTGCATTTAAGGTTGAAATATTTTTGTTTAAGATAAATGAAATTATCCATATCCAATTTCGATGCAAATACTGAAATGATGAACTCAGTTTTCTCATCAGTCAGCAAATGATTAAAAAAAGGTAAAATAAATTGTGATAATCGTTTTACCAATCACAGACTTGTCTGTAGTGTATTGGTAACACTGTTATTTATTATCATTATTATTACCATTATCTGCATCCATCCATCCATACATTATTTGTTATGGTTGTCCCAATTGGGGTCGCAAGGGGTGCTGGTGCCTATCTCCAGCTATCACTCTGGACAGGTCGCAAGTCCATCGCAGGGCAAAACAGGACATAGAGCCATTCACTCACATACTCACACCTAAGGACAATTTAGATAAGCCAATCAACCTAACAGTCGGAGGAAGCTGGAGTACCCAGAGAGACCCCACGCATGCTCAGGGAGCGCATGCAAACTCCATGCAAAAAGACCCCGGGCCAGGAATCGAAACCAGAACCTTCTTGCTTCAAGGCAGCAGTGCTACCCACTGCACCACTGAGCAGCCCCCCCGTTATCTGCATATTATTCACACTTTAACTTTGCTGGTAAAGATAATGATACCTCAAGATCTGAGTTCAGAGGGAAATAATAAGGATACATAAGCAATTATTCCTTAAAATCCCTTTAGCTAATTAAAGCTGTAAACATATCTTCATTTTTAATTATTTTTCAATGTTGCCCGTTTTATCTCATCTAAGTAAAAACAAAACATTCTGAAAAAAAACAGGAGATATTTTACTGAAAAAAAAAAACAAATCATGTACCTTTAACTTTTAAATTCTAATTTTAAATTTCTACAAATAATAATAAAAAAAACAACAAGTAAAAATGATCAGAGAAAAGAGTAAATCAATATGTTTGAAAACTAAAATAAAATGAAGCAGTATTATCAAGGCTTGGAATGGGTTACATGTTCAAGAACCAAAGATTATTGTAAAAAGTTTGGAATGAGGACAAGTTAACTTTTAACTAATTCGGAACAATTTCAATATGTTCAAACCAACTCTAAATGCAAATCCAATGAGAAAATAAAACATAATTTGGTAAAATAATATCCTATTAAATGATTCGCCAAACTCATAGACGTAAGATACTTGATTGTCAACCTTCTTAGATTGTTGAGGGAATAGTTAAAATGTAAGGCCCACTTTAGGCCTGGCTTATTAGACAATACCTCGCAGAAATGTGGTGACTTCTCTTAAATGACTTAGGTCAAGTTGTTTTAGTTTTATAAATATTTACAGACATGATGTGGTACAATTAGGTTGTCAGTTGGTTTGGCTGTCTTCTAATTTTTCACTAAACCAGTATACTTAAAATCAGCCAGAGATTATTCTTCTTTTTTTTTTTTTATCTATCATTGTGCTGATAGCACCCATAGTTTTCTAGTTTTCTTTCTAGAGGAAGCTCAGGACATGCCTGCTATGGGCTTTTGATCACTGTTTTCTACCTTCTGTTCTCTACCTTCTCTTTGAAGTTCAGTGTCCTGTATTTTTGTCAGTACCCCACCTTTGCTGTAGTCTGCTCTATGTACCTAGTAATCCTTTGATCCTCCTGTTCTCTCTTAGTTTAATTTACCAGTAAAAATAAAAATACAAAAAATGTCTCTGAAAGTGCTTTTGGGTGCACTTCTCATATACATTGTTTATGAGATATAGTGAGTGTTTCTGGTACACAAGTCGGTCTTGTGAGATGTATGTGTGGACTGTTTAGCTTAAAGTTCTTTTCTTAACTTTGAAGGACTTGTAAACTATTTTGATCTCTGTTTTTTAAAAGGCGGGCTTGTGCTGGTTACACTGGTCTGTGTTTTAGATGGCCTTGCCTAAAAGCATTTATCCTTTATTCCTCTTTGCTTCCAGCCTTTGCTCCCTCCAAATAAATCCTGTAAACTCAGGCCTTGTCCCATTACTCACACTTCTGCTTTTTACTCTTAGTAGGGGATACGTTTCTCTTAAATATTTACTAGTAATATTAATTTTTAGAAAATTGAACAAACTTACACAAACATAAATTTAGATGTAATGAATCACAATATAATAAAATATACAAAGCCATACCTCAGCTTTTAAATTATAGTAATCTCTAATTTTCTAAGTTTCCAGAATGAAACTTGATAATTAATGTATAATAATAAATTTATAATAATAATCTATCAGTATAACGTTACACAGGTGATTATCATGGGAGAATTACATTGGACCGTGTGCAGAGCTCGCTCCTCTGCAAAGCTTAGGGACCGTCTGCAAGTTGCAAAATAATCAGAGAGAAATATTCAAAAGCTTCACCCAGGAGCTTTTTCTCTCAGGAACTAGGACCCGTAGTCCAATAGGTTCAATAGGTTTGCCTAAATAAAAGTTTTAGATATGACTTATCAAGATATTCCTGCAAAAAGTTCTGGTGTTGCAGGGGAAGGTAATTAAAAGTGCTTGGAGCATGCTTTTGTTCTGATGCCAGTTTGTTTCAACCTTTATCCAGTCTCATGTAGAAGGGCTGCTCATATCACAGGTTATTTGCATTACAACATGGACAGTTAACAAGGTATAGTGAATGCACAAACTTCAAGAGGGGAGGGGGCTTGCACTGGAATTCTCCGGTACTTGTAGTGTTAAAGCCAGTACTGTTCTGCTCCCGCACGCTGTCAGATGCCGAGAGAAGATACTCTCAAATTGAAAAACAGTGCTTGGCAGGTGTGAGGGCGTGTGAGTGGTTTGCATGCTATGTTCAAGGAATGGACAGTTTCCTTCTGCAAACAGACCACAAACCACTTGTACCACTCATAAACACTTATGACCTGGATAAGGCCCCTCCAAGGTGCCAGAGACTCCTGATGTTCCTTTTAAGGTTCAATGTGGAAGCACATGTTGGTGGCAGACACACTATCCAGGAGGAAGCAGAAAAAGTGATGAGACCACAGACCATATAGTACATGCACATGTTGAGTCGATGTTGTAGCAAATGCTCCTGTCTCCATGATAACACCTTGTTTAAATTAATCCACCAGCAAACAGAGGTAAATCGTAGAGTTACAGATTTTACCGAGGCTGTCCGTTTTTCCCTTCAGTCTTTGGGCTCAGCCAGAGAGCTAGCCCCACCTCAAGCTAACCAAGCAGGTTTTTCTTCCCCTTATTCTGAGTGTCAGCTGCCCAGTCCACCCAGGTTCGACCGGAACCCAAAGTCATGCAGTGTATCATCCAGTCCAACCATGCTCCGAGTAAGTTCCCTTTGGATTCTACCAAGATATCATATATCATTTCTCATCTAACTGATCGGGCACTGGACTGGGCCGAGTTTAGACTCTCCTCATCATCTAATTATGGCTGCACATTTGACAAATTTATTTCTGAATTCAAGCAGACTTTTAACCAGGATCCGGATAAGAAGTTGAACTCCCGTGAATTGTTGAAGGTAAAACCGGGACAGAAGTCTGTTTCCGATTTTGCCATTGATTTCCGCATCCTGGCTGCAGCCTCTGGCTGAGACAAGGCAGGCCTCATGTGTGTTTTTTTTTCCAACGCTCTCAATGACTCCATTAAGGAAGAGCTAGCCACCCTTGATGAACCCGAAACTCTGGAGGAGCTAATTAAGCTATCTATCCGTTTGGACAATCGGATCCATGCACGAACCAAGGAGAGAGGTACCAAGTCTTCTCTTCCTAAGACCCTTCCTTCGGACAACCTTTATTCTGAGAACCCCACTAATACTTCTTCACCTGAGCCCATGCAGATCAGCAGTTTAAGGCTTAGCCCTGAGCAGAAGCAGCACCGTATGCGGACTAAGCTCTGCCTTTATTGTGGTGAGGCTGGTCACTTTGTTGCCTCGTGCCCACTTTTGCTAAAAGTCAGGGTCCACCGGTGGAGACGAGGGGAACTGGCGGACCAGAA